AATAAATGCGATGCCAAAACAGTCCAACTGATATACTCACTCATAAATGTACGTAACGGCACCCAAGCAAACATATGCACATTGCTGTACATACATATGTACGACTAAATATACGCCTGTGTGCTGAAAATGCTTCGTTGGTTGGCCTTTCGTTGTGTACGCATCCACACACTGAATCAACATATTTTGCATGGCGGTCCATGTGCCAACAGGATACATCAATATCCTGTCATTCAGCAATGGCATTGCATGCTGTGCTATTGCCAGCGTCTGTGTGTGATGTGCGCCAATGTAAATGTTTATTTTCCAGCAACTGAATTAGCCTCTGTGTCCATGTAAAGATTTATCGGTAATTTAATTTAACAAATATTTTTACAAAGTGATTAACTATAAAACTCAGCTGCACTCTCAAAAGTTATTGCTGCAATGCAATCATATTCTTGCGTTTTTATGGTCATATATTCAGTACACAGTGGACTGAAGTAGAAATTGCAAACGAGCGCGGATGTACGTGCTCCTATAAACACTTCATTAAATTAAAAAAATGTTGGTACATAAAATATTAGTTGGTAGTAGTCTTACGTATGCATAGGCCAAAGATTCAACTAATGCTCGAAGCGTTATTTTGGCAAGTTTTTCTGCTTGAAACTACACAAAAAAAAAAATTGTCTGTAAGGCTTCAGCTTCCAACAGTCTCGATCTACGACTTTAGTAGCTAAGTTATATATATTTAGTGCATCAACGGGGTATGATTGAATGGCTCTTTGAGTTGCAATTCCGAAGAATTTATTAGATCTCAGCTGAAGTAGTATATTCGACGGGAAGCCAAATGCGTTCCCGCGGACGGAGGCGTAGATAACTTTTGCCCACGGCCTTCAGATTAGCTCCCTTCCGGACTTCTTCAACTAGGACGACTGACATCTTTTAGAAAGTCATCGACCACTCGTTGACGAAATGATACACTTAGAAAAGCCTGCCGGGATGTCGGACCCGCAGCCTTGGAGGTGGCCTAAATTTTCACTGCTTCCATACACGACGCTCGGAACGATCTGTAGTGATGAGCTGCTCATCGTTTTAGCTAGATAACTTTGGCGCTGGTCCATTCCACAGTCTTTTCTCCAGGGCCGCTGGCCATTGACTGAATTTCATCCTCGCCGCTTAGCACCTTTTTGGTTCACCCGATCCTGCGAGCGTACCCCATATCTATTAATATAATTTCATTCGGGTTAGCTTAGGTTGGGCGACCGCCCCATGTGGCACTCACACAGATCCGGGACCTTTTATAAAACCACATGAGCTTTGCAGTTATCTCCCTTCCCCTAAGGCCACTTGGTCCTCAGCTAACTAACGGATAAGTTCCAAATGTGAATTACGTTGAGATTATCTAGATCATTAGAGAAATAACTGCCCAGACCCTTTGCTCTCCGTTTTGTTAGTGGACCGCATTGGAAGCAAATGTGTTCATCCTAACAGCTTCAATAGTCGTTTCAACGTTCGCGCATTCTAGCTGTGTGTAATAAAATCACGCAATGACCCCTAGGAACTTTTGTCACTATGGGGATATCTTGTATGGACTTGCGTGGAAATTTACGGGTAACCAATGTGTGCTGACGGCATGGCAGGTTGGTTCCAGGTGCTATTTTCCTTTGAATTTTTAATTTAAATAATAGAACCTTGCATGTTTGAAGAGGGATACTGAATGAGTCACTGATATATAAATCAGAAAATGTTGTTCTGTGATATGCGCAAATTCGTAAGCCTTTAAATTTCCCCTGAAATCACAATGACCAGGGACTGAGACAATGTGTGCGCATTGTCTCAGCCAATTCCTTCAGATATTTTGAAAGTCAGAAACATTTTTCCTGGCAATTTAAAAGCAACCTGGCTGCTAGTGAAAATGTAGATATGTATTATGACTAGGAATTCCACCAGACTATATTACTTGTGCCTGAAAAATACTGCAGTAACTAATCAAGAAGGCAGAAGCTGAAAATATATTCCAAGTAAACACCACCGCTATCAACTTTTCTGTCGACTTTTGAAAGAATTGATCTCACCAACGCAATGTAAATGAACGCTGCAATCTTGGACTGCAACATCACAGCTTTGTCGATAGCTCAGTTGTAGAGGTATACAGCCATTATGGCTTCTTAGTTCATTTCGGTATTACGAATTCTATTTCGTCCCCAACAATAATGCAGATTTTAAGGTGTTAACTATTTTCCGAAGATAAGTACTACCAGTGAAGATTTTTGTACAATTTACCCCCAAATCGGTGTTGATAGATATATAAGACTCCCTTAGCTCTGCACTTACTTATAATCCCATCTCGGAGGAGGTTGTTCACAAACGCTACCAGAAAGTTGATGGCGTTTTCTTCGAAAAAATTTGTCACCTTCTTATATGGCAACATTATCAGAGTGCAACATTTTACGGAAAGAGCATGTAATATGCATGTGAAGATGCTGAGAAAAGAACACGAAAACCTAACAGCTCTGCCGCAGGGCAGAACAAATGCAACATTATTTCCAGACAAGAAAACGCTATAAGATACCAAGTTCCTGGAGCAAATGCATCCGACTGGCACTTTATTGTTGAAAGTATGTACATTTAAAAACATACGTAAAGAATATTCTGTGGTGAAAAGATTTTTCGATGTCATAGATGCTATACTGAACCTTTTATTCTTTTCTCTTTTATATATGTGTTGGGCAACCGATAGCTTAGTACCCACTCTTGCCCTAATATAAGTGACCAATATGCGTTCTAGTGACTTCAATAAGAAGGAGGAAAGGCTAATCGACCGGAAATCATTGGGTTTTATGTGTGATTTCAGCAGTATATACTTTGATACGTGGGTGAGGCTGATAACTGTTTTGTTTTTTTTTAATTTTGGAACACATACTTTGATTCAACGTATTTCTTCAGGTCAATAGGTAGGATGCCATCGAGAAATAGTGCTAAGGGGGCAGTAACGTGCTTATTCATTACCCTGGCGTTGAAATGTTCAAGTAACTGAGTGCGCAAGAGGAGTTCAAGCATTTCGAAGCTGCAGGAAACTAGGCAATGTATCTGCTTAAATTGGTTAACTTACCGAAGACCATACCAAATGTAGGCATTTCACTGTCAAAGCGATGTCGCGCGAATAAAAATCACTCTTACCGAAACCGCAGCCCTGTGGCATGGACCAAAGCTATATTTTAATTCGCTAAGTGACGCATAAGTCGAGATATTCAGAAAATCTATATTTATGATCCGATTTTGATGAATTTACAAATGAGTACCCGGAGATGGGACTAAAAATCTCTTCATGCAAATTTAATGCGCTGGAGGGCATAGAGTCGAGATATTCATAAAAATTTTATTGTACACATACACTGCAGGTTTGTTCAGAAATACTTTCACAAAAATGGAGCCGCTAGGTGGCGCTGTGGTCAAGATGATCGGACCTATTGTGGTTCTCGATGACGATGTCGATGTAATTTTTTCATAAAAAATAACCCTCGTAAGTTGAAAAAACAACATCGACGTCGACGTCGACAACCATAATAAGGCAGATTAAGAAAATGCCTATTTCTCTCCAATTTTGATGAAATTAAAGACATATGTATGCGAGGGTATCAGCTAGTTTTCTATAAGTTGACCGCAAATATGAAACTCTCATTCAATATCAGTAGGACATATGTATGCAAGAAGATCTCTAAAAACTCGCACAATTTTCTTAGGAGTATATTGAAGAGCTAAGCGCCGCACAGTGTGGAAGATCAACTTTGTTAGTTACAAAATCGAATACCTCGAGAACGAGAATATGTTAATGGCGAAATAAAGCTTTTTTAAATGGAAATTTAGGCGAAATTAATTCCGCTGGATAAAAGGATTAATGTTTAGATTAGAAGGTTTTAAATTTTTTCTTTTTTTCTGACCCGAAAAGCGAATGAAGTGAACTTTTTGAAAACTCCTAAACACAAAAAAAAAAATTGCTGTGCTTTCGTCACGAATCCGTTTCCAAGGTCGCAAGGACCGAAGACCGCATTTAAATTTTTTTTTTAAAGTTCATTAGATGAAGTTCTGTGTTAAACAAAAATCAAAACTTTTATTTCGTAAGGTCATTTTAAAGAACTCATTGTATGTAAACATACCTCGACTTTAAATTCTACCTTCAAAAGTAAAATTTTGGAATTTTTTTCTGGTTAAAGGTCATTTTACATGTCAAAATAATCTTTTTATCCGACAATACTATTTTTTCTTAATTCCTCATCTCAAAAGCTTTAAAATACTGTTAAATTTAATTCACTATCTCTTCTATCTCGTTCTCGAGATATAAGATTTTGTCAAAAAAAATTTTATTTTCCGCGTAAAAGTAAAATATATAAATAAACCGGCGTTCCTACCAAACTAAGTAAGTTGACGAGGTTTACCTTGTTTCAAGGCCTTTACGCGTTTAGACGAATTTCCCTAAAGTATTCTTGAAAATTATATTTTTGTATTATTCAGAAAAAAATTTTAGCTGCCAAGAACAATCAACAAACCGGTAAGATTGTACAAACATACATATGTATGTAAGGCAAAAGGATTCAATGCCAAGCACAGCTACTAAAAATGAAAATCGCACTCTGCACACAAACACCGTAACAAACCCACCCACACAAACATATACAACGAAAATAAACTTAAATTTAAAATGCTCACACCTGCTTACCACGTGTTTACTTCAATTATACAAGTCGTCTATTTCCGTTTGTTTGTTCGTTTGTATATAAAAATAAGCAAAGCAGAAATACTGAAATTACGTGTCAAAGCACGAATTTCCATTTTCTATAAACGTCCAATAAATGTTTGCAGTTACTACTTACTATGTTTGCTTTTGTCGTCCGTCTACGCGTCATGTTCTACTCTTTGTTTACGTCCCATGTACTCGTACTTCGTTAGTCAGCATACGCCCACACCTACATACATAGTTCGTTCACAAATTGAAATGTTATTTGTGTCTCTGTTTCCAGCATATCCACATGTTGCACGAGGAGCGATCCGCCTCGATTTCGGAACGTTGTACACGTAGTCGCATCAATTCGGCAATCTTTGTATCGTCCGAGGGTAGAGGATTTGACTCCATCGAGTTTTTGCGTCGACACGGCTCACAGAGCGTGCTATGTCGAAAAGCGCGCAGCGCAGAGAATATTACCGACAATGAGCGCAAGGTGAGTATCCAAACATACTTATTTACTACTTACTTTACTTTTAACTCATTTTATTCCTATAGAAAAGTTTCTCGGACAATAACCGACCGTGGCGTACTGACGAGAATAATGACAGCGATCCGAATGCGGCGAATAAACGGCAAGACGATTGTGATGGCAGCGCCATAGAATTACGCGAATGCCGTCCTAGCGCTAGCAACAATTTCGCAGACGGTGCCGCATGCGGTGGCGAGTCACGTACCCTCTCAGTGCTCACCGCCAACACCAACTGCGATCACCCATCCACCTCAGCAGCCGCAGCAGCTTCAATGTCCACCACGAATGTGGTTGTGGGTAGCATCTCGCTGGAGACGCCACCTTCACACATCAGGGAGAAGCTGCACAATGGTAGTGCCGCCAACACAACAACCACCGCCAATGTCGTCAATGTACCCAACGGCGAGAAACGACAGCGTCCAAATACCTTTGCAGGTATATCAACCAGAAGCTCCACATCGCGTGGCTCCACCGACACTGTCGAGGAGTTAGTGCTTGTGCCGACGACTGTAGTTGCCTCTTCCGCGCTGCCACCAGAAATTGTCGCTACAAATCGTTCACGCACGCTAGTACGTCAACGTTCCTCAACCGCATCCGCATCACCGCACCCAAGTCCAAAGTCGCACGCGCACACGCTCAATAATGCACGTCCCAAGATTGCGGCGCTGCCGATGGTGTCGGTATCGGGACCATCACCACCACACGAAAAGCCGCTGCCGCAAGCAACAACAACGGAATGCTTGTAACAAATGGCAGCCGAAACATTTATTTAAGTAGAGTAAAAAAAAAAAATAGCAACGGTGACACAGAAGGTAGGAGAAGTGTTTTGATAAGAGGACGCAATCGGGCGGTGAATGGGCGGCAGGGAAAAGCAGTTGGTTGGTTGGTTGCTGCAATCAGCTGGTTAAACTATGTATAAGTACAATTGACGCGCCTGTCACTGTATGGGAAAACAAACATACATACGATAATCTGTCCTATATTCTTCCTAACTTCAAGCTCACGATTTAAGCTCATACACTTGCAAATGTTTCGGCTATAATTGGCACAGTTGGGGGGTGGTATCCCTCAGCTCTAAACTAAATTAAAAAAACAAAAAAATTATCAAAATCGACTGAACTATTCGTAAATACTAAAATATCATAAAAATAGTATGAACAAAAAAAGCAAATGGTATTCCCAAAAGTACATACATAATCTTATAATAGTCATTAGTTTGTAAAATGTAACCCGAGCCAATAGAAGATCGGCATAAAGCTTTAACAAGTCACTTGAAAACTTTCAAGCTTTAATATTTAAAAGTACAGTAAATATGTAACTACTAAATACTCGTATTTATAATATTTCGATATGTCAATACCTATTTATTAGTTTAAAAATATACGCGAATGTTTTTTTCGGTCAAATATGAAAATTTCGTTGTCGGTCACAAGAAAATATGGTAACATTTTTTTTCCGCTACATTTTTTTTTTAATAAACAATTAAATATAGCAAATGAGAAACCGACGTTGTGACACAATCAATTTTGATTTTGGGCAATTTTTTTGTTCACAGTATCACTCATTTTCTTCCGTACAAAGTATGTTCGACAATTTGTCTGCATGGAAAAAATTAACGAAATATTCAACAAGCAAAAAATGCCTAAGATCAACTTCAAACTTGCGCCTTTTATACTAAACTTTAATTGGCCACATGGTTGTTTTTTAATTGGCATATTTCACTGTTTATTAAAAGAGGAGCAGAAAAAGATGTTTTCTAACGCTGCCTGAAAAGTTAATATAGAGGGTTAAAATTTCGCAATAATTTTTTTTTTTTTACCGACAACGAAATTTTCCTGTGGGACCGAAAAAAATTGCCGTTATTGTACACAGTCTAATGTGTACGTATGATCAGTACTATTGTATATGTTTATGTGGCATTGCATACCAAAATGGACGGGGTTCACGCTTCATGTGTTTGATTTGTTTCAAATTTTTGGGGTTGATGGACAAACATAAATAATAGAAAATATTAAATTTGAGCATGATTAATATATTTTTAAAAACTTTTCCAAAGGTAGCTCTGAGTATTGCGAAATATTTAAGTATAGTATTACGGGATGCACTCTACAATAATTTGAGTTATAAATTTTTTTACACCGAAGTTGAGTAAAATGAATACATTACAAATTAACAATTTTTTTTTGTAGGCCTTTTTTGAGTATGTAGTTTTATAGCCCATAAAATTTTAGTATAATAAAATGAAAGTTTTAAGCGCTTGCAAAACTGGCATATTTTTTTTTTTAAGTTTCTTCCATAAGAAAAAAAAGGAAAAACCGTCACCATAAAAAGTATTAAAAATCAACGCAATTTTGCGGTAGCTTAAAACTTGCACTTTATTATACTAAAATTTTATGGGCTACAAAACTACATATTCAAAAAACTTCTAAACAACTTTTAAAAAGTTGTAGAAAAAATTAAACAAAATTCTAAATTTGTAATGTTCTCATTTTACTCAACTTCGGTGTAACAAAAAAATTCATAACTCAAATTATTGTAGAGTGCACCCTGTAATGCTATACTTAAATATTGCGTATGACTCAGAGCTACCATTGTGATTTTTTTAATTTTTTTTGATGTGGCATATTTTCAATTTGTATATGAAAAATTTTTCAACAAAAAAATTTTTTTAAATATTTATTTTCATAGAGAATTTTTATGCGTGTATGTGTAATTTTTTCAAATTTTTTCCTCGCCCCGTTCTCGAGATATTTGGAAAATTATTAAATCGATTTGTTTTTGTTTTTGTGTTGTAATGTTTTTAAAAATGTATTAATCAAGCACAAATTTCATATTTATTTATTATTTAAGTTTATCCATCAATCCTAAAAATTTAAAATTTTGGTATGGAACGCCCCTTATATCTTTCTTTAAAGTAAAGAAAAGTTTCGAATAAGGTAGCAACCAAAAAACAAAACAAAAAACAAATCTAATAACATAAGACAAATATGATAAAAAAAACCCTTTCAACCTTATCATGAGTTTCATTTTCCCCGAACCGGTTTACTTTTCACTTTTGGTTTCTATGTACTATTTATTATGTGCGGATAAAAAATTTTGTGGCACATTTTTTCCACGGAAACTCAGGATAAGGCAATATATAAAAATATGCACTACAAATGTACTATATAAAAGAAAAATTAGGGAGTTAAAAGTGTAAGTTTTCGAATTACATTCGTTTGTTTTTCGAATCCAAACTCTTTAGTACTTAGTTTTTTTTTGTACATACAAACTTTTAATGTACCGAACTAGTATGTATTTTAATATAAAAAAGGTTTAGAATACACTATGTAGTATATAAATAAGGGTGGCCCATAAAATAAAACAATTTTTTGCGAAATACGGTATGAAACCAATTCCTTTTTTTCTTAAAATTTTTTCATTCTGTTGGATGACGATAACCCGTTGCCGACTTCACTATGCACTTCTTACACACGAAAGATTCGACAAGTCGACTAGAGTTATTACCTCTTCTCCCTAAAATTCCTAAGCTTTCGCTGTTGAGAAGTAATTTTTACTTTACTGTTACCTTTGACAGCCTACTCTCCTTATCCGCGCACACAATTGCAGTACAGAGCCGCAACAAGTTCCTAAAGTCGCTTCCCGACAGCCCCTGAGGCAAAGACAAAGAAACGTGGTTGGTAACATACAAGGCAATTGGTCGACGTAAGGGAGCACAAAAAAATGCTCAGCAAGCAATTTCTGGTGGAGTGAGCACCCCGACAGATGCTTGCTCGAGTAGGAGCCTCCACCCAGGCACCTCAGGGGGCACCTTTTCGTATACATGGACGCGGTCCAGAATTACATATATCGACCAACCACTGGACCCGAGGACGTACCGACGAGTCGGTCATTCGGTCCCATTCGTTACTCATTCGTTTTGCTTTCTTATTCGTCTTGGAAAATGCAGAACAGACTTCCCGATTTTTGTTGCCGATGATGTCGATATCATCAGCATACGCCAGCCTGAGCTTTTGCTTTTACAGCAAAAAATCATGTCCATAGCATATCCCTAAAGTGGTCTTAGAGGATCAAGGATGAGGTGGCAAAATGGATAACGATCATCAGCTGGTCCTGCATCCATGCAGTATCAATAGATGCTGTTGGCTAGGAGGTGAGTTTTCCACTGGAGGGCACATGAGGTTTTGTGTTTCTGCTGCAGGTCTCTCGCTTCGGTTGGTTTTTAAGTGAAAAGCTGACTTCTGAACTTCCAGTGAAAAAAGATAAAAATATATTATATAGTTATTGGCGTTGAGTAACATTGCCCTGTGACCTCCAAGTTATGCTTTTTCTGTTCGTTGGTGCTGTAGCTCTTGTAAAGGCGGCTGTTTTTGCTTTTCTGGTTGTTTTGGTATTTTCGTAGAAGCGATACTAGTTTTTATTTCATTCACGAAGTATCACAGTCTGGCTGATCCTCGGTATGAAAACTTGATACGCCCTTCAAAGCAGAAGATAAAGGGGTTTGGACAAGGATTTTCGGTTAGATGAACATGTGTGACAACGTGGATTCAGAAAATAAAATATGTCCTTTTAAAATGTGCCCCCTTCTCAATACAATATTGAACAAATAACTTTTAGACAAAAACATAACCGACTTCAATGCTCATATTAAAATTTACCGTTATTCTATTCATGACCAAACGATCGGAACTCAACTAAATTAGTTTGAGACCACCCCGAGGTACCACCTTTCCGATGAATTGATAACCTCCTCTTTCTTGAAGTCGGTTAAAAACTAAAAACATAAACTGACAGCAGTTGAGCTCTATTGAGAGGTTTCCTCGGTACAAGTTTATTGTTAAACTTCAAGTCGGCACGGGCTATCGTGATTCTGCAGCAAATTAACCTTATATATGTACATTAGAGTGCATCACTCTTCAAACAAAACAAAAAATTTGCACTGTTTTCCATCGGAATTATAAGACTTCCGTCAAAATAATTGGGAACAATATTCAGATTTCCGTCCAACCCATTTGAAAATACCCCCAAAATCTAGTTTTTAAATATACAAATAGTTTTCTAAAATATTTTTTTATTCCAATTACCTCAGATGATTGAAGAGTTCAAGGTTCAAAGGTCTATATAAAAAGCTTAAAAAATTTATTCACGGAATCAAAATGAGGCTTTTTGAGGTATTTTTAAATGGGTCTAGGTCAGGTAAATCTCAGTATTTTTCCGTAATATAGTTATGTAATAAATTTTGTAGTTCCGCTGGAAAACCCGCAACTTTTTTGGTGATGCACAAATATGTATGTACCGAAGTAGGCCAAAGAACAAAAATTAAGATATGCATATCGAATTTCTCAAAAAGATATTGTACATAAATTCATCTAAAATATATATGTATTAAAGCATAAATTTTTATATTCATATATAGTATGTGTCTAGTATTTGGTATTACTAAAATATTGTGTGTAGGTGTGATTGTAATACGACAGGGAATCCTTAGGAAATGCACTAAACTTAAGACTACTGGTAGATATAGAGTGAAAGAAAGATTATTGCAAAGAGTCATTTCCTTCAGCATTTGGACGGTTTAATGTTTTCGTTGTTGTAGCAGCATCAATTTAACCCTGCATAGATCTGTGAGGCTGCCTAGAATTTTCATGAACAGCATCATCTTACAGCAGTCGCAGATACAATGCCTTTTCGACTAGATCGTATCAAAGGTATATTGTTATTTGAATGAGAGTTTTTAAGCTGGCGAGTGAAGAGGTCGTTTGTAATGTAAGATGTGGTAGTTGAATCCATGTACTCCAGTATCCAGAACGAAGCAATGCCACTCTCGTTAACATGGCATATAATTGGCAGCGACTGGACTCATTAACAGATTAAATGCCAATCAATGAATTAGCCTATCCGATTCAGTGGCTGTGTGTTGTTGCGTCGATTTTCGTCGTCGAGTTCGCGGAGATGCAGATGACTTTTTTGTATTGAAAAAGCGAGTAAGGCCGGATGGATAGCCAACTGAGACCATTCGACATTTCCCGAGTTTATTCATTTGCTTGCCCAGTGTGTAGTGTCTTGTGAGGACACCTGTTAATATTCTAAGTAAGCGTCTCTTTTGGAAGGCTTATTATATCTCTCGTCGCAATTGGCTGTCACGTGCATCTTTATGCTGGGCATTTCTGTGCATCGGCGGTGAGCCTCTCTCCTCCTCTGATACCAGAACTGAGAGACATTTGAGAAAATTCTAGGGCATCCGCTACGATGACGTTATGATGGAATTCCGTCAGATTACAATAAAAACATTATAGTCAAATTATAAAATTATAACAAAAATATCTATTTCATTCAAAAATATCTCCTTTTACATAGTATGTTTAGATATA